TCATTTCTGAATTACTGAATCACTCCACTCGAAGATCATGGAGCATCAAGAGAGAGACACATACGAGCAGATTCAAATTGAGCAAGATATGATCGAAGACATCAGAATGAATTGATTATTGGTTCAATCACCCTTAAACACTTGTTTGGGCCTTTTATCCCTTTCTTTCATAACCATGAACCATGACCTACGTTATGTGCCTTAAAAGTCCATTCTAATCATACATGGATTTATAAACAGAAGAGACTATCTTCAGATTACATCCCGCCCATCAGGATTAATCTTTATTTGTAAAAAATAGTGTAATTAATGCATGATAGAGAAAAATGACAAAAGGGGGTTCAAGACGTAAATTACGAATGACGTCTTGAAACCAAAGGAAGATTCGAGTTGAAAACCTGAAAAGGCGGCTCGAATACGAAAATTGGGCAGCTGAGGCGATCGTACGAATTCCTTGATAAGGCATCGCACAATCCAAGCTTGACCATGAAAGCTGGGAATCGGAGAACACTTCCAATAGAGGAGCATGCAAGATACCCCATCAAACCTTTGAGCATCAAATGAACAAAAATGCCAAACCTTTGACCAAACACAATAACCTGAGACATTTTTATCCTTTCCTTACTTAACCATTTCCCAAAAATAGATTTGATCTTGGCATGTGTCAAACGGCTATAATTTATTGAAGGATTAACAATGTAATTAATTCTTTGATATCCAATGAACTCTAGTTTTATGATTTGTCTCAATTGTAAAACCGTGAAAGGTGCAATATTTTCAAAACTTTTAGTTAAACATTTTTCGAAACACTTTTTTGATATTTTCAGAACTTTGAAAATAAAAAAGAAAGAAAAACATTTTTTTCAAAACAAGACAATCTCTCTAGAGTGGATCTTGGTAAATGACATGTGGCTCTCAAACACAAAACTCGTGCTTAGAATCAATGTTGAAGTAAGAAATCAGGAACAATGAGGGCATCTTTAAAGATTCAACATCAAATGTTGGGGCATATTTGGGAATTCAACATCCTGATGCAAATTATCAGACCTTTTGAATGTATTTCCTCCATATGCAGGAACAAGTACACAAAGCACGAGACTCCATCCAGGGGATAAAACAGAACTAATTCATGTTACATGCATCTTAGACATACTCAAAAGCATCGCATTTATCATTTTTTGTATACATAAGTTTTTGCAGCTTTTAGAGTTAAGTTTCAACTTCAAGATGAAGGATGCTCGATTCAAAAACATATGGTGGTTTCTCTACCTCACAGCGAAGGGGCGACTGTCGGACAACAAAACAACTTTCCAGTTTCAGTCAGAGACAATTTCAACTTCACGGCGAAGGATATTGAACTCAAAGTGACACAATTCGCTCGAGAGTAGATTTCAACTTCACGACGAAAGATATCTAGCTCAAAGCCAAACTTCACAATAAAGGGGTCATTCACGGTTTTGACTTAACGGCGAAGGGAATCATGTCCACCCGCAACATACAATACTTGGATTTCAACTTCACAACGAAGGATATCCAAGTCAAGGCTCAACTTCACGACGAAAGGGCCACCTGCAATTTCAACTCCACGACAGAGGATATCGTGCCACTCAAGACAACACAAGTTCAACTCCACAATGAAGGGACGGCTGGTTGTCAACAAACAATTTCCCAATTTCAGAGCCAATTTCAACTTCACAACAAAGGATATTGGACTCGAGATAACACAAGTTCAACTTCACAACGAAGGGATGGTTGGTTGTCAACAAACAATTTCCCAATTTCGGAGCCAATTTCAACTTCACAACGAAGGATATTGGACTCGAGACAGCACAAGTTCAACTTCACAGCAAAAGGGCGGCTGGCTGTCAACAAACAATTTCTTAGTTCCAGAGCCAATTTTAACTTCACGTCGGAGGATATTGGACTCAGAACAATACAACTTACTTGGATTTCAACTTCACGACGAAGGATATCCAATTCCAAGGCTCAACTTCACAACGAAGGGGTCATCCACGGTTTCAACTTCATGACGAAGGGAATCGTGCTCACTATTGTCTCTCTTGAGACAGTTTCCAAGTTTCCCTTGAAACAAAATATTTGAATATGTTTTCATTGAAACTAATTTTGTCTCCCTTGAGACATTTTCTTTTGAAACAAAATTTTATCTCCCTTGAGACAGTTTCTCTTGAAACATAAACATTGAAAACATTTCCCTTGAAATGATTTTTGTCTCTCTTGAGATAGTTTCTCTTGAAAAAAAATCTTTGAATTTGTTTCCCTTGAAACAAATTTCATCTCCCTTGAGACATTTTCTTTTGGAACTAAGTTTTGTCTCTCTTGAGATAGTTTCTCTTGAAACATAAACATTGAAAACATTTCCCTTGAGATGAATTTTGTCTCCCTTGAGATGAATTTTGTCTCTCTTGAGATAGTTTCTCTTGAAACAAAATCTTTGAATATGTTTCCCTTGAAACAAATTTCGTCTCCCTTGAGACATTTTCTGTTGGAACTAAGTTTTGTTTCTCTTGAGATAGTTTCTCTTGAAACATAAACATTAAAAACATTTCCCTTGAAATGAATTTTGAGATAGGTTCCCTTGAAACAAAATTTTGTCTCCCTTAAGACAGTTTCTCTTGAAACATAAACATTGAAACATTTCCCTTGAAATGAATTTTGGTCTCTCTTGAGACAACTTCCCTTGAAACTTCAATCTTTGAATACAGTTTCTCTTGAAACACAAAAAACCTTTGAAATTATTTCTCTTGAAACACAAAAAAAAAAACCTTTGAAAATGTTTCTCTTGAAACACCAAACCCTCGAGTTCGATTACACTCAGCTTCGGGGGCACATCATTTACAGTATAACTCAAGGCTACAAGGGTTATCTGTCACCAAAAGACCTTCGAGTTCGACTATGCTCAGCTCTAAGGCATATCATTTACAGCATAGCTCAATGCAAGAAGGGTTATATGTCAATAAAATTGTCGAGTTCGATTCCATTCAGCTCGATGACACCTCAATCACACTATTATCCGGCTGTAATTGAGGTTTTCAAGCCGAGAAGAAGGTCTGGGTTAGCCATGCCTTAGTAGCAAGAAGCCTTTTTCCGTCAGCATAGCTTAAGTCGAAAAAAAACTATCTGTCAACGAAGACTTTTCGAGTTCGGTTTCATTCAGCTCAAGGGCATATCTACCACATTATGGAGTCAAGAGATTACTTTCCAGTCAAATTTTTAGCCAAGGTCTTTAAACCGAGAAGAAGACCAAAGTGGACTACAACGAGAAGCCACATTCTGATTCAAATCATTTCAAGATGGACTCAACTTCGCGACGGAGGAGCCATCCGCAATTCAATTCGACATGGAGTTATTCTTCAACTCCACTGAACTAAAATTTGTGTCTTTTTATCTTTGTCCTATTTTTCGTTCCACGAAAAAGGACAAAGAGGGGCAGCTGTAGACACACATTTTCTTAAAAGATAGAACTAGCAAGAGTTCCTCTCCTATGAGGACTCTTCCACCACCATATCTTTTAAAGCAACAACCACACCAACAAACGTGCAACAACTGAGCAAGCTAGTTGCATTAGGATTCTATTGTTAATAGGATTCTAAAAATAGTTAGTTTTTTTCACTATAAATACATGTAATCCTCCCCATTTGTAACACACGATTTACATACAAAATACAGAGGAAAGCACGGAAAATACAAAGGCAAAGCTATTGTAAACGATTCGAAAAGGAAATAAAAGGTTACACCTTTAAAACTATCTAAGGTAAGTAATTGTGATCGTATTTTTACCTTTTAATTTTAAATTAGATTTTTCTTAATTTAAGACAACCAGCAAATTAATTGGTACCGAAAGGGCGGTTCAAGGGTGCTAATCCTTCCTTGACCGTAACCGACTCCCGAACCCGACACATTTCTAGTAAAAACGCAGATCATGTAAGATGGTGTCCGACCCACCTAAATTCGTTTTAAAGTGGTCGATGGCGACTCCCAACCCAATTATTTCAAGTCGAAGCCCAATTTGGGGCCTAACCGAAAGACGGTTACGACAAGTAGCCCAAACATAATTAAACACACACATATGATATACTTAATAATAATAATATAATTATATAAACCCAAACGAAACTCGAATGAAACCCTCGAACAATATGAGCATCTACACCACTAAAAAAAACATAAGAATAACTTTCTTTTTTTCTTTGACAACCAATAATTTATTTTCTTTGTCATGTTTGTGATCGACGATAACGTTAATCTTGACGTTGGTCATCAATTGTTGTTATTCATTATTTTTCTTTTATTTTATTATATTGTATCTTTACTCTTTTTTCTTGTTTTTAATTTTTAATAGCTCAGTCTTTATGTCACGTTTTCGGTCATTTAACTGTTCTTTTCGTTTATCATTTTTCTTAGGGTTGGATTTAACAGCATCACAACTGATCAAGATGACGTTTATTTGTTATCATGTTGATATTTCATACTTTGGACCATATAATTGAATTTGGATACACGATTTACGTTCGAGGATAATTTGTTCACGTCTCTCGAATCTGATTTACAATTTATCGTGTTCTTTCAATAACTTGATCATATTTTATGGTTTGTTTACCAATATGATCATAATAATTCGTATATATCTTTTGTTCAAATTTATTTGATTAAATTTTTTAATATTTTTCTTATATAGTCCTTACGTGATCTTAAGTAACTAGTTTCTTGTATCATTGATTATAAAAAATACTCTTATTATATTTTTAGTTTACGGTTATTATCATGAATCTTTATTTTAATTTTAATATTTTCTAGAAACTAATAACTTGTATAAGAAAAACATAAGAATAAAATTCTTATAAAAATATTACTCTGATAATATTTTTCGTAAATGAAAAACGAATTTTAACAAAATTAAGATTCACGTGAAATCTCTTTTCTTGGAACGGAATGATGAACAAGAATCAATACAAACCGATCTACTTTTAAGCATTCTGCTAAACAATCCTCCAGTTTCTGAAGAATTCTGGAAAATGGGTGAATGATATTTCCCTTTTTCCTCTACACTTGGTCTTTTTAATTCCCAGAATCTCTCGGTTTTCTTGCTGATTTGATCTCTCAAATGTGGGTAACCTTGAACCATATAATCTGATGGCTCAAAAACTTGGCTTTCTCTTTCAATCTGTTTATGCTTAACCTTACTCCCATAAACGCTGTTTGTTGATGGGTTAAATGCTGGGAATTCCCTTCTGTTTACCCTCAGACTGTTCTCTATAACCCTAATTTCTTCTTTGAATCTATCCCTAATTTCTCTTAAATTTCGCAGAAATTTACCATATTTTGAACAGTTGGTGGGATCTTTTGATGAATGTTGGGAAATGAGGAGAGAATTGACATTTGAAAATGGGATTCTATTGCATTCGTATTAAAAGTGTTTCCATCTCTCTATGTTAAAAGCTCTTCTCTTCGGACCGTCTGAAACACATGCGTATGCCTGCAAGAAGAGGAACAGTTCGGGTTACGAACAGGACATACACAAGGTTTTGTGTTGAATGACAAAATGAAATTATTAAGAAAAATATAAGAAAATATTTAAATTCCATGAAAAAATCAACACGTCAAACCCTTGACTTATCCCTGTTATGAATCCAATACTTACAAATAAAGAAAACAATTTTAGGTAGCGTTTGGTTGGATGGAATCCCTTGAAATTGGGGGAATTGAAATTCAATTTTACCACTTTCTCATGTTTGATTCAAGTTTTCCAAAGGAATTGGAATCCCTCATGGCTTCAACTTTTAACTAAATGAGGGAAAATGAATTACATCTCTCTATGTTAAATTCCCTTGTTGAAAGGAATTGAAATTTGATCATACTACCCTTATCAATCTTTTGGTAACTTATTCATATATTGAATAAAAATATTTTTTTTTATTTCGGGTCGGGTTTCTAATTCATATATTCGGGTCGGGTCTGGTTGGTTTTTTTAAGTGTGATATTCAGGTCGGATCGAGTTCGGGTTTAGGGTGAAAAATACCCGACCCGAAAATATATATAATTTTACCTTATATATTTAGGAATAATTACAATAATACCCCTCTATATATATATATTTCAATTAAGTCGCTATTTTTATTGAATAAAAATATTTTTTTATTATTTCGGGTCGGGTCGGATTTCTAATTCATATATTCGGGTAGGGTAGGGTGAAACTTTATTTTGTTCGTGTCGGGTTTTTTAAGTGTGATATTCGGGTCGGGTTTTTTAAAGTGTGATATTTTGGTCGGGTCGGGTTTTTTTAAGTGTGATATTCGGGTCGGGTTCGGGTTTAGGGTGAAAAAAACCGGATCGACCCGAAAAAAAATATATAATTTTACCTTATATATTTAGGAATAATTACAATAATACCCCTCTATATATAATTTTTTCAATTAAGTCAATATTTTTATTGAATAAAAATATTTTTTTATTATTTTGTGTCGTGTCGAGTCAGGTTTCTAATTCATATATTGAATAAAAATAGTTTTTGGTATATTTTTTGGTAACTAATTAACATACTCCGATTGGAATGTATCGAAATATTGCTCTATCATTTGGTAACTTATTAACATATTTTGATTGCGATAATTTTAACTTATAATGTTTATTAGCATGATTTTTATAATTTATTGAAATGAATAATCAATCAATAAAATGAAAATTTAATATTTTTTAATTTTTTATAATATATTACTACATGTAAGTTGTAAAACAAACTAAAATAAAGCAAAAAAAAAAACAAGAAGGGCAATTCTATCATTTTACATACTGAAATCAAATTCATCTTACATGTCTGCAAACCAAACAGAATATGGAATTGGATTACAATTCCTGACGGATTACAATTCCTGACAGATTTCAATTCCTTCAAAATTTTAATTCCTTCATAAACATTCCAGCGAACCAAACGCCACCTTAGTATTTAAGTTGGTTGATATAAGGTTATATCTATTTGAGTCTTGAGTTTGAGTATAGAGACGATTAAATAATTTTATGTTAGAAAGTAAACCTTTAAAATTTTAGGAGAATATAAATTCTGAAATTATAAGGGAAGGAATTATATAATCAATAAAAAATATAATTTTTTAATTATATAAATATTTAAAAATTTCAACGATGCCCGCTTCATCCGCCGCTTTCAATCCATTGTGTTTGAGTGGGATACTAATATTCCAAATACCAACACTAAAACAAATATGGATGAGGATATTCAATGCAGATAACTAATTTAAAATCCAAACAATACAAGTTTCTATAATTCTACTAAAAGCAATCAATTTATTCCAATATCAAATGCAACGAAAAGAACAAAAGAAAAGTAAATCTGACCTCTGAAACAAGCTTGAAGGCAATCTCAGCTTTTGGATGCTTATTCTTATCAGGATGAAGTTGCAAAGCTAAAACACCCAAAATAAAATTAAGATAAAGAACAATCAAACCATTTCAATAAACTTTGATTTTTCTGGCATTTTCTTGCTTACCAAGGTTATGATAACGCCTTTTGATAAGCTGGAATCCTGCATTTTCAGCCACCTGCAAAGGGAAGAAAACCGGGGGGGGGGGGGAACTGAGCCAAACGGACTGGAAAATCCGGGAAAATGTTATGGGGAAGATTAAAAGCCTGGAAAAAGAAAGAAAACATTGAAAACATACTCCCAAAAGGCGATACCAGTCGATGAAATGAGTATTGTTGGAATGATTTTTATGTGGACATGCGATTGGAATGGTTGACATTGAACAAATTTGAAGGACCAGCTCTGACTTTTCACCTTCTGAAATCTCTGAATTCGACCCAATTCTCCCCATTGTGTTTGGATCAAAAAAACTGTTCCCCCCAAAGGATTGAGTAACAAAAAATGGGGTTTGGGAAATGCAGAATTGAAGGTCGAAGTGATGGATCTTGGAGGTGGGGGGAGGAAATGGTGTGTAAATGGGTGGAGAGGTTTGATGGAAGGGCTTTTTACCTTTTTTTAAAAACATCATTCAAAAATTATATTTTAATCTAAAAACAATTAGTTGATTTAGTCATATGAGATATTAAATCATACTTTAATCTAAAAATCTTAATATTTATAAATTGAATAAATTGAGTTAGGACTATCATCCTTATAATGAATTTCTATAAAATTTGATCTAAAATAATTGATCAATAGATCAAATATCGGTAATTAAAAAATATATATTGAACAAAAATTATTTTTTCATATACAATGGAGTTTTGAATTCAATGACATGAAGGGGCATTTAGCTAGAGTGCGGGATTTTAATTATTTCTTTTAAGAATATATAATCTATCAAATTTAAATAAATTAGAGACAATTGCATTTAGTTTATTTGAACCCATAACCTATAGGAATAAGAGTGTTTAAAAATATTCGATTCGAACTATTCGATTCGTTGGATCGTTAATATGATTAAAAATATCGAGTATTTATAATGAAAATATTTGATTTTACAGGTCGAGTATTCTACCTGCTCTTTTCTCAAGTTTTCAAGTCGAGTCCGATCACAAAATATCCTTTAATCGGATACCTACCAACTCGATACCCAATTTCTTATATACTTTTTATTTTACTTTATATTAGATTTTTTTTATTCCTAATTCCCAAATCATTTCACCATAACATTCTAAATTCTTAATTTTAAATTATTTCGGCGTAACATTCTAAATTACTAAATTATTTCAACTTAACAATCTAAATTATTTCACAAAATTTTCTTTTAACTTCAAAAAAAAATTAAATTTAATTGTATTTCTTTAATTTTGTTAATAAATTTTATCTTTTAATTGTGTAATTTGAATTTTTAAATTTTATGTATAAATTTTAAATTTTAAATTTTGTATTTTATGTATATATATATATATATAATTTAAAGAAAAAATAAAAAAAAATATGAATCAGGTATTTGTGATCCGAAAATACGAGCACTTAAGTTTTACGTGTATCTGACTTACGGGTATCTGAATTTAATGGGTCGGACTTGGGCTGACATTTCAAAACTCGAAAATCCTATGTACATAATATTTCGTGTACCAAAAAATACGGATACCCGTTTTTGAACACCCCTATACATGAGATGTAAAAAGAAAATAAGGTGAATTATACAAATGGTCCCCCGACTATAGGATATTACTTTGTTGAGTCCATTAATTATTAGAAGTTACAAAATAATCCTATAGCTCATTACTTTGTTGAGTTTCTTGACTATTGAGAGTTATAAAATGATCACCCGAGTATTCATATTATCGTAACCGTCCTTCGGGTGGTCCCGGAATCAGGTTCCGGCTTAAATTTGATGTGTTGGAGCAGCCACTGATCATTTGAAATTAGGTTGACCGGACACCTTAACTAACCTTTTACCTAATCTGCGTCTTACTAGAAGTTAATCGGATTCAGGAGTCGATTACAATCAAGGAAGGATTAGCACCCTTTCACTGCCCTTTCGGTACCAATTTAATTTTCCGATTGTCTTAATTGCAAAAATTAAAAGTTTAATTAAAAGTTTAAAAGTTCGATCCAAATTATTTACCTTTGAAGAATTTTAAAATTGTCCTAAAAATAAATCCAATTAATGCTAAAAAATAAAATAAAATAAATAAATATTAAATAAATAAAAGAATTAAAAGAAAATTCAAATTAAAAAGGATTAAATTGGAAAGAATTAAAACTCAATGATCAAATTGATGTTAATTGAAAGCTGTAAGGAAAAAACAAAAATTTGAGGGGTCAATTTACAAAATATAAGAAATATAAGCATGGATTAAATTGAATTAATTCAAAATTCAAGGGCAAAATTACAATAGGTGACCAAAATGAATTACACATCAAAACTGTAAAGACTACAGAAATAATTTAAAATTTTCATAATTGCATAGAGGTCCCCCTATAAATAGCCATAAACTCTCTCAACTGAAGCCTTCCCCTCTCCTAACCGGCCATCCTCCGACGAGGCCTACATCCACTGTCGACTCCGCTCAGATCACCACTATCGATGGCTGGAAAACCTAAAATTAACCTGAAACCTTTCTCTCAACACCCCGAAACCAAATTCAACCTCAAAATACAAATAAAACCCCCCAGTTAGTGTAGATCTACACTAAAAGTTTTGATTTTTACCTTTCCTAGTGACCACTTTTTGAACTCCGGCGACTATTATCTCCTCCAAGAAAAAATCGAAGTCGAGTCTTTGATTTTTTTGTACTATGCGAAATGTTTTTTTGTTTGCTTGATACATTGATCTTTAATGCTTTTTTTTCGATGCTTTTTTCCGGTGTCCCCTCTTGTTCGACTTACAGGGACTTATATAGCCCTTCAACAGTGACTTTTTTTTATAATAATGGGGTTGTTCCCCCACCTCCGATTTGCTCAGGTTTGTTACTGTTCGTGTAAGCCGAACATGACGAGACATCCCGATTCTCTTTCGATTTCTCATTTTGGAATGCTTCGATTTAGTGCGTAATGGCGACCTTGTCGACGTGTGGTCTTCACGTGCTGTTGAACATCAAAAAGCCAGATCCAATGGCACTTGTGTGGTTGTGCATGTGATGAAATACTTAGGGCTTCAAAACCCTAATTATTATGCGATCTAAACTATTGATCACTACTTGATCTAACGACTGTAAGCTATGCGGTGATGGGACTATACACCGAAACCCTAAGGACCTTTTCCCTACGGGGCATGCTTGTTGTGTTTCCAACCGAGTATGCTTGTTGGGTTAGACTTTCAGGCTCGATTGGGCTTCATTTTTGGATCCAGACTTTGGATTTTTGGACTCATTGGACCCTAAAAATGAAAAATAATATAATATAATATAATAAATTAAATATATATATAATAATAAATAATATAATATATATATATAATCCATATACTATATTTATTTTTAAAAACTATATAACATTTATTATATTTTCAAAAACTATAACATATTTTCAAAAATTATATATATTATATATGTTTTCTTTTTAAAAAAACTATTTTCAAAAGCTATATATATTATATGTTTTCAAAACTATATATATTTTCAAAAACCATATATTATATATATATTTTTTGAAATTATTTTATATATATTACATATTATATAAAAATATAAAAACTGAAATAAAAGCCCTTAATGTCCCAGACAAAAATGGGTGTCTACAACTGCCCCTCTTTACCCATTTATCATGTAATGAAAAATAGGGCAAAGATAAAAGGAATCAAATTTTCGTTCGGTAAGAAGGAATTCCAAAGGGAATTTTCTCCTATGAGTCTGATATCTTTCACTGTAATTGAAATCGAACTCAATGTTGTAGTCAACTCTTTTTATCAAATATTCTCCGTCGCAGAGTTAAAATTCGACTTGAAAATAGAAGATGGCTCCCTGCTGTTGAGCTGAGTTACGGATAACTCCTTCGTAGCAAAGTTGAGATTTGACTAGACAACCTTAGTCTGTCGATGAGTTAAACTATGTTACGGATGACTCCTTCACTGTGAAGTTAAGTCAATCTCGAATGTCTTGATCACGATGTCCTTCGTTGTGAAGTCAAAATCGTGGGTGACTCCCTCATCATGAAGTTGAGTCAATCTTGGATGTTTTGAGCATGATATCATTTGATGTGAAGTTAAAATCTAGTTCAAAATCTGAACTGGAAAGTGACTTCTTGTTGCCAAATCGTAGTCAACCTTGGTCTTCTTCTTGCCTTAAAGACCTCGGTCTAAAATTCAACCAAAAAGTAGTTCCTCAATATTACCATGTGGTTGATACGCCTTCGAGCTGAATGGAATCAAACTCAAAAGTTTTTGTTGACAGACAACTTTTCTCGACTTAGGTTATGTTGTAAATTAGGCTAGGAGATAGTTCATTGTTGCTAAATCGCAACCAACCTAGGTTTTCTTCTTGGCTTAAAGACCTTGGTTTAAAATTCAATCTCAAAGTAGTTCCTTGTTGATGGCATGCGGTTGATATGCCCTCGAAGTGAATGAAATCGAGCTCGAAAGTTTTCGTTGATAGATAACCCTTCTCACCTTGAGTTATGTTATGGACGGTTTCTCTAAGTGAAGGATGGCTCCCTTTCGAGGGTTTATGCCAGTCATAATTCCTTAGATGACTCCCCTTCGCGTGAAAGCCAAATGGTATATTCTTCAGGTGGTTCCCCTTCGCATGTCTGAACTAGGTGAGATGATCTTTAGATGACTCCCCTTCATGGGAAAGTCATATGGTATATTCTTCAGGTAACCCCTTTTTACAACAAAGCCAAGTGAGGTCATCTGTCAACTAGATATCATCCATCGTGAAGTTAAAATCTAGCTTGAAAACTTTAACTGGAAACTAGCCACTTGCTGTTGGGTTAAGCTAAACTGAATCCATTCTGAATTGGCTCTCGAACCCATCTGAATTGGCTCTCAAACTCAATTTGAAGTTGATTATAAGATCTGACGATATTTCTATAGGCCAAGTTGGTTGAGGTGTAGCTTATCGCCACTGAGTTAAGCAACCACCATCAATTTTTTTGAAGACGCTTTTGAATCGAGTATATTTCGTCGTGAAGTTGAAACTTGACTCTAAAGCTGCAAAAACTATGTATACAAAAAATGATAAATGTGATGCTATTAAGTATGTCTAAGATATATGCAAAATGAATTAGTTCTTGTTTTATTTCTTAGACGGAGTCTCATTCTTTGTCTGTTGGTCTTCTCCTTGGAATCGATCATGCCCCAGCACTGAAAGCTTCATGGAAAATATCTGACATTTACTCATTTGTTGGCTCAATCCAGTAATCTTGTACTCTTGATTGTATGGATCATTTTAATTAGAGATTCTAAAGCGTCTTTTAGCCTTTGTTTACTCAAGGGAGTAAGACTCTTTTGTATTTCAGTTGATGATCAACTACTGGAACTGGTTGAATCATCATCGTAGTTGACACATCAATATTTAGTGA